GTAGATTAAAATTATGTAATATAATTTGAGGAGATAAGCTAATTATATGATGTTTTATATATTTTAAAACTAAATTAGATGAGATCTAATTACAAAATTTTCTCTATATTTGAAATATATATAATTTATATGCTCTAATCCACTCTCGTTTATTGAGGGGGTTATGGAGGATTTTGAGTGTGTTGAGTTGTAACCCTAAGTCAATTGTTTTTTTTTTCTCTCCTCCCCTCGATACTAGAATAGCCTCTTCCCATGGATTTAGTTGAATTTGTGCCAAAACTCATGAATTCTGCTGTATTTGGTTGTTTGTTTGTTCCATGAATATGTTTTCTACATTGTTTTGCACAAAGGGTGTAAACGAGTCGAACATGAGCGGGCACAGGCTCAGCTCGTGTTCAGCTTGTTATAAAATAACACTCTTCATGTTTTGCTCATTTATATTTCAAACACAAAATATGCTTATGTTCGGCTCGTTTGCTTAATGAGTCAAACATGAGCTGTTCGCAAACACAGAATCATTTTGACAACTCTGGTCATGCAGCCGTAGGATGTTAAATGTTGGGGTGATATTTAAATCTTATTGTTTGCATTAAGACATCATTTAAATTATTATATTTTTATACTTATTTTTAATTTAATTAAACTATTTAAAAATACTACTTATCAAGCTGAACACAAATGGACAAATCTTTGTTGGTGTTTATCCCATTAACTTAGCAAACGAATAGCCACAAATAAGCCTTTAAACAAGCTATTAAATGAACAATTAATATAAACATTTAGTGTTACTATGTTTATTTTAAACATGCTAATGTGAATTTTTGAAGTAGGAAATAAAAAAAATTAGAATCTGTCTGGGCAGCTGCAGCTTATTGAATAACCTGCTGATAAGTTGATTAAAAATAATCTGGTGATAAGCTAGGTGCAGTGACTACTACAAATTTTTATTTTTTTGAAAAGGGCAGACTGCGGACAGAAAATTGTAATCGCACCTAAACAAGTGCTGTGTGAAAACGCTGTTTTCAGCATTTTGAAAACACATAAACTGTCAAAAGACAATTTACCCAAACAGATCATGTGCATTTTCAAAATGACACCGCATCAAATAAGCTGCCACAAACGGACGCTTAGTTATCCATTCAAAAAGCTGGAATATTGCTGTTCCTTTATTTCCCCACGACTTCCTGCATCCTTCCCACTGATTTAGAAAATGTTTAACATTAGATTTTTCTCTCTCACATCTTAAAAAAAAAATGAAGGATTTACATAAATACCCACTCAATTCCTATGTATTTACATATCTAAAACCTAAACTTCAAATTTTATGTACATGCCTACTTCATTATTTAAGAATTAAAATTATGATATTTGTATGTATGGCTGTCTAAACGGTTCGTTGTTCGCGAACAGCTCGTGTTCGGCTTGTTAAGAAGTTCGTGTTCGGCTCGTTCTTTAAGTTAACAAGCAGAACACGAATCAAGATTTGTTCGTTCGTGTTTAGTTCATTTTGGGTCGAAATACTGCTCATTAATTAATACTTTTAATTGATTATAATTCTTTGTAACCTTATAATCAATTAAAGTTTTTAAAAATACAACTCATCAATATATATTAATTAAGTTCGGCTTGTTAAGAAGTTCGTGTTCGGCTCGTTCTTTAAGTTAACAAGCAGAACACGAATCAAGATTTGTTCGTTCGTGTTTAGTTCATTTTGGGTCGAAATACTGCTCATTAATTAATACTTTTAATTGATTATAATTCTTTGTAACCTTATAATCAATTAAAGTTTTTAAAAATACAACTCATCAATATATATTAATTAAAAAAAATATAATAAAATTATTAAATTAGATTCAAATGATATTTTAAAATAAACAATATTTTTTTAAATTTTGTCCCAGCCTGTAACTTCTTGGCTACGTGATTATGGTTGTCAAAACGACTCTGTGTTCGTGAACAGCTCGTGTCCGACTTGCTAAACAAATGAGTCGAACACGAACACACTATTTGAGCTCAAAATATAAACGAGCTGAACAAGAGCTGAGCCTGGGCTTGCTCGCGTTCGGCTCGTTTACACCCCTATTTGTATGTGTCACGAAATTTTTTTGTGTTATAAATGTTAAAAGTGAAATTTAAGTGTTAGATATATAAATACATGGGATTGTGTTGTACCTATATTAAATTTTTTGCTATTTATTAAATATTATGCTAGATAAATGTGCCTTTGAATTCAATATTTTTAGATTCTTTATTTTATTCCTATCCATTATCCAATTAAAGCCCTTAACTTTATTGCATGATACTTATGATTATGTGATCATAGGAACCAAACTATTGAGTGTTATCTCTAATTATTAGAATCAAATTTAAAATATACATTAATCACTAATTTTTAATCCAATTGACATAAAAAAATAAAAATAAAAATAATAAAAAATACTAGAAGAAGTGGGACCCACAAAAATATCAAGTTATTGAGGCTAGTGTGAAAGCCACATTGCACCCGTTAGTCAACCTCATCCCAAACACACAAAGAAAAGTCTTTCATTAAAAAAAAATAAAAAAAAATTAATAAAAGGTTTTTTTATGATGAGTTGAAAAGTATATCTAATTCACATTTATAGTACGTTTGGGGCAGCTTATGGATAAGCTGCTTACCCTGAAATGCGGCCCGTGGGTCAACCGTGGGAGTCTACCCGCAGCCTGCGTTTAGTGTAAAAAACTCAAACGCGGCAGACAGTGTTTTCAAAAACGCACAAACTAAACGGTTAGACGGCGTTTTCAAAAACTTCACTGCACTTATAAGCTGCCCCAAACAGACTAAGTCAATTTCAAATTAATGAGTTTATAAGTTAAATTCAAAATATAATACATTCAAGATTTTATATTTAAATTATTAAAATTATTGAAAAAATATATATATATTATATTTTATATTAAATAATTTTATATTATTTATTTTTTAACGACTTATTTTATTTATCATTTTTTTTATAAAGCTAACTCGGAAAAGTATTATCATATATTTTTTTTTGTAATAAATACGTCGACTCTTAATCTATGCTATAAGAGAAGTAGGGTCTATTTTGGGCAGCTACAACTTATTAAAAAATCTGCTGATAAGCTAATTAAAAATAATATGTTAATAAGCTAAATGCGGCGACTATTTACAAATTTTTTTTTTTTTGGAAAAGTCAGACCGCTACCAGAAAGTTGTCACCGCAGCTGCATAACTGCAGTTTGAAAACGTTATTTTCAACATTTTCAAAATTCATAAGCTGCTAAAATACAGTTTATCTAAACATGTCAGTTACATTTTCAAAACACCACGGCATCAAATAAACTGGCTCAAGCGGGCCCTTAATGCATTTATTTCTCTTAATAGAATTTTCTACAAATTAAAAAT